ATCATCATCATCATCATCATCATCATCATCATCATCATCATCATCATCATCATCAACATTCTCATCCGTTGCCATGTTTGCTCAAGTGCCACTTTGGCGCAGGCTCGCCAGGGCCACAGCGGCCGCCCGTGCGCTGCCCGCTCCGCGAGCCAGAAACGGCGAGCATGGAGAGTGAGCGTCTTCTCAAGATCACTGCAGGCGATCGTTCGCAGGATTCGACGCCCTTGCGGATCGATGCCTGCCCTGGCGCATCGACGCCCTCCAGCACCAAGGTCACGGGAATGCACATCGAGTCCCAAGTCGTGGTGTTTGTGAATCTGATGTTTTTGCACGCCGAGGCTTTCAGTTCTACCTCGGATTCTCAGCTCAGTTGCACATGTGCCTCGCTGAAAGAATGGGCCGATGAGTGGGACAACATGCCGAATGACGAGATGAATGGTGCCCATCATGCAGATTCGGGCAACTGGCACTCACTTCTTGACGATTGGTGCGGGAAGCTCTCAAGCAAAGATGATGAGAGCTCGAAGCAGTCCGAGGCAAACGGGTACACCAGCCAGAGGTGGAAGCATCTGGAGAAGCTTCACCAGATTTGGCAGGCCGAAGGGTTCTCGCAGTCCATCCCCACGATACTGGACCAGATCAGTCCGGGGTTGTCAACTAAGTTCCTGAAGTCGTTGTGCGTGCGCGTTCCACACGACGCGATTCCTGTCAGGCTGTACCAATTTGCAAATATTGCTTGCCCGGTGAGTGTCGTTTCAGGGCGCCTTGACCAGGGCATCACAGATGACGCGCGGCAGCGATTTCTTGATGAGTTGAAAGGGGTTGCGGAGGAGCATCCTTCGCGTCCGGCCTGGTGGCAGATCACGCGAAATGCGCACCTGAGCAGGGTCGTTTGTTTCTATACAACAGTCCAAGGCGTCTTTGGGCATGAAGCGGTAGATTTAGATGGCGTCAGGATCAGCCAGGCCATTATCGCTACCAGCGGCATTAAAGACGTGCACTTCGCAACCCCTTTCGGACAAGCTCTGGTTGCTTGCAATTGGGCGCTCGCTTTCCCTTACTTCGTATGGAATCGCTCTGCCGACTTGCTGTTTCAGTTCCTTCTGGTGTGGTACCTTTCGCCTGTTAGCCGCTCACCGCGAGAAGCATGCGAGCAAAATGATTATTGGTATAATGAGTGGGCGTCATCAATGTCAATGAGTAATGCCTGGGTTTTGACAGCACCAACAGCAATCACGATCTTAGGACTTCGCACAGGTGTCTGTTTGCTCATCGAGCTTGTGACTGTCATGGCGCCCGTGATTGGGAGGTGCGGAGATCCTCTGTTGAGGCCACGTCTGTTCTTCATCAAAGCAGAAACGCTGTTCTGTTATGTTGTCGAGTTGTGGTCGATCTGCTTTGCGATTTTCCTTTGGACGACAGACAACTACATCTGCAATCGCCCGTTTCACCTGTCCATGCTCATCTTTGTGAAGTGGTTCCAGTTCATGTTGTCATGCCTGAACTTTTCGTTTTTGATCGAGCACCTGCTGCCTGCATGGGTAGCAATGACCAGCCGCCAGTCGCTACTTTTTTTAGCCTACCTCGTCCTGACGGCCGCGGGGACTACGATGGCGTACTACGCATTACCAATCAATGAACCAACAGCAGACAAAACCAACGGCCCTTTTTGGGAGTGGCTCGCCGCCTTCGTGCGGACATTCCGCCTGGATTTCCTTGCCGATTTTGACGACAAAGATTTAGAAGGTGTGCGTCAGAAGGTCAACAGAACAGATCAGCTGATTATTGACGTGGCGAACGACCAGGCTGCATCCTTCCACTGGGTCTTGAAGGTTTTTACTCTCGCCTGCGGCCTTTTTTTCCGGTTATAGCTCTGAACTTGTACGTTAGTCTGCTCGGGGCGGTCTACCAGGATGCCCTCCAGCACGATTGCCACCTCAAGGGCACTTTCCAGATGAACTCAAGCAGCAGGCTTCTGGTCCAGCGCCATTTCTGGAGGAAGGTGTGCTGCGGAATCTTCGACAGGTGCGGGGGCATCTTCAGCCTGACCTACTTCGAGAGATTCAGCCACGCCTGCGTAGAGAGAGAGGGCAAAAAACACGAGGGCTTCTGGATCGTCGTTTCAGAGGAGTCGCTGGACGAGATGGACCAGGAGGGCGAGGAGGACCTGCCCGCCGCGCACGCGGGGGAGCCGCCCTCGAGGTACTCCAGGATTACCGCTTCGTCCGCTTGGTTGCGGCGTATATCCAGCAGGGCCTCTTGGGAGGCAAGGGAAGCATCCATTGAGACAAGGCAGGCCGCCGAGAGCATGCAAGAGATGAGAGGCTTGCTCGAGAAAGTCAGCACCAGGCTCGACGCACTGAACGTTTCAAGGATCGAGGAGAGGCTCGAAGAGCTGAGATCAGACGTCAAGGAACTAAGAGGGGCAATCGATGAGGCGAGCAGCCAGCCTAAGAAGCCTTCTGCGCTTTGTTTTAGAGGCGGCGCGGTTTCTGCTTGAAATCCGCTCTTCTCAACTCTATGTGGCCACCAGTGGCGACCGCGTTGTCGGGAGTCGACGCCCTCGCGGGCCAAAGGACGTGCCGGCGAGGCTGCTCGGCTCCCGCATAATCTTCTCCTACTCGCCGCCGAGGTAGCTGCGGTGGCTGGCCTCGTCTTTTCCTCCTGTGTGCACTGGAGCCTCATTCGATAATGACATTGTGGTTCCCCGTTCGGGGGACAAACATCATCATCAACATCATCACCATCAATCACCATCCTAATCAGCATCACTACCACTATACCATCAGTACCATCAAGCTTCACCATCGTCCACTCACTCACTCACACACTCGACCACCCTCAGTCACTCATAACTTACTCACTCACCCTGCGAGACAGACCGTCATGACGGTCTCTCTTGATGACGGTCTCTGTGGCCTCTTCTCACTTACGCACCCACACACACATCACCATCACACCCTCAACCGATCACTCTCATTCACGCATAACTTACTCGCTCCCCCACTCGCTCACTCACTTCCCCTGAGTGGCTCTCTCACGCACTCAATCATTCACACACCATCATCACCATTTGCCTCATCCTCGCCATCATCATTCATATCATCATAATCATCCTCCTCCTCCTCCTCATCATCATCATCATCATCACTTGCCTGTGCGTCGTCTCGGGCGGGAGCCTCGTCAGTGAGTGAATTGCGAGGAAGTCTCAGGCGGGAACCCCCTCCCTTTGGGGCCCGTACTTCATGTTTGTAATCCGAGCTGGCCATCGGAACGATGTAGCTGTCTACACTTTCGGGCTCCTGAGGTTTGAATATGGAGGAAGTATCGGGCGGGAGCCTCGTCTGTGAGTGAATTGCGAGGAAGTCTCAGGCGGGACCCCCCCCCCTCTGAGGCCCGCAGCTCAGGTCTGTAATCCGAGCGGGTCATCCTCAAACATGCAACTGTCGTCATGTTTGGGCCCCCGAGGCCTGAATATGGGGGACGTATCAGGCGGGAGCCATGTCTGTAAGTGGATTGCGAGGAAATCTCATGCGGGAGCCCCTCTCTTATGGGGCCCGCGGATCATGTTTGCAATCCGAGGCGGGTCCTCCTCAAACCTGTCCCTGTCGTCACCTGTGGGCCCCTGAGGCTTGAATCTGGGGGAAGGCTTCGGCGGGAGCCTCGTCTGTGAGTGAACTGCGAGGGCGTCTCGGGTGGGGGCCTCCGCCTTCTGGGGCCCGCAGCTCATGGTCGAACTCCGGGGCGGGTCATCGCATCGGAACGACGTAACTGTCTACACTTTTGGGCTCCTGAGGTTTGAATATGGAGGAAGTATCGGGCGGGAGCCTCGTCTGTGAGTGAATTGTGAGGGCGTCTCGGGCGGGACCCCCCCCCTCTATGGGGCCCGCAGCTCAGGTCTGTAATCCGAAGTGGGCCATCCTCAAACCTGTAACTGTCGTCACTTCGGGCCCCTGAGCCCTGAATCTGGAGGAAGTATCAGGCAGGAGCCTCGTCTGTGAGTGAATTGAGCGGAAGGCTCGGGCGGGAGCCTTTCTCTTATGGGGCCCGCGGATCATGTTTGCAATCCGAGGCGGGTCCTCCTCAAACTTGTACCTGTCGTCACCTGTGGGCCCCTGAGGCCTGAAGATGGGGGAAGTCTCGGCGGGAGCCTCGTCTGTGAGTGAACTGCGAGGGCGTCTCAGGTGGGAGCCTCCGCCTTCTGGGGCCCGCAGCTCATGGTCGAACTCCGAGGCGGGTCATCGCATCGGAACGATGTAACTGTCTACACTTCTGGGCTCCTGAGGTTTGAATATGGAGGAAGTATCGGGCGGGAGCCTCGTCTGTGAGTGAATTGCGAGGAAGTCTCAGGCGGGACCCCCCCCCTCTATGGGGCCCGCAGCTCAGGTCTGTAATCCGAGCGGGTCATCCTCAAACATGCAACTGTCGTCATGTTTGGGCCCCTGAGGCCTGAATATGGGGGACGTACCATGCGGGAGCCGTGTCTGTAAGTGAATTGCGAGGAACTCTCATGCGGGAGCCCTTCTCTTATGGGGCCCGCGGGTCATGTTTGTAATCCGAGGCGGGTCATCCTCAAACTTGTACCTGTCGTCACCTATGGGCCCCTGAGGCTTGAATATGGGGGAAGGCTTCGGCGGGAGCCTCGTCCGTGAGTGAATTGCGAGGGCGTCTCAGGTGGGAGCCTCCGCCTTCTGGGGCCCGCAGCTCATGGTCGAAATCCGGGGCGGGTCATCGCATCGGAACGATGTAACTGTCTACACTTTTGGGCTCCTGAGGTTTGAGTATGGAGGAAGTATCGGGCGGGAGCCTCGTCTGTGAGTGAATTGCGAGGAAGTCTCAGGCGGGACCCCCCTCCCTCTATGGGGCCCGCAGCTCAGGTCTGTAATCCGAGCGGGTCATCCTCAAACATGCAACTGTCGTCATGTTTGGGCCCCCGAGGCCTGAATATGGGGGACGTACCATGCGGGAGCCATGTCTGTAAGTGAATTGCGAGGAAATCTCATGCGGGAGCCCTTCTCTTATGGGGCCCGCGGGTCATGTTTGTAATCCGAGGCGGGTCATCCTCAAACTTGTACCTGTCGTCACCTATGGGCCCCTGAGGCTTGAATATGGGGGAAGGCTTCGGCGGGAGCCTCGTCCGTGAGTGAATTGCGAGGGCGTCTCAGGTGGGAGCCTCCGCCTTCTGGGGCCCGCAGCTCATGGTCGAAGTCCGGGGCGGGTCATCGCATCGGAACGACGTAACTGTCTACACTTTTGGGCTCCTGAGGTTTGAATATGGAGGAAGTATCGGGCGGGAGCCTCGTTTGTGAGTGAATTGCGAGGAAGTCTCAGGCGGGACCCCCCCCCTCTATGGGGCCCGCAGCTCAGGTTTGTAATCCGAGCGGGTCATCCTCAAACATGCAACTGTCGTCATGTTTGGGCCCCTGAGGCCTGAATATGGGGGACGTACCATGCGGGAGCCATGTCTGTAAGTAAATTGCGAGGAAATCTCATGCGGGAGCCCTTCTCTTATGGGGCCCGCGGGTCATGTTTGTAATCCGAGGCGGGTCATCCTCAAACTTGTACCTGTCGTCACCTATGGGCCCCTGAGGCTTGAATATGGGGGACGGCTTCGGCGGGAGCCTCGTCCGTGAGTGAATTGCGAGGGCGTCTCAGGTGGGAGCCTCCGCCTTCTGGGGCCCGCAGCTCATGGTCGAACTCCGAGGCGGGTCATCGCATCGGAACGATGTAACTGTCGACACTTTTGGGCTCCTGAGGTTTGAATATGGAGGAAGTATCGTGCGGGAGCCTCGTCTGTGAGTGAATTGCGAGGAAGTCTCAGGCGGGACCCCCCCCCCCTCTATGGTGCCCGCAGCTCAGGTCTGTAATCCGAGCGGGTCATCCTCAAACATGCAACTGTCGTCATGTTTGGGCCCCTGAGGCCTGAATATGGGGGACGTACCACGCGGGAGCCATGTCTGTAAGTGAATTGCGAGGAAATCTCATGCGGGAGCCCTTCTCTTATGGGGCTCGCGGGTTATGTTTGTAATCCGAGGCGGGTCATCCTCAAACTTGTACCTGTCGTCACCTATGGGACCCTGAGGCTTGAATATGGGGGAAGGCTTCGGCGGGAGCCTCGTCCGTGAGTGAATTGCGAGGGCGTCTCAGGTGGGAGCCTCCGCCTTCTGGGGCCCGCAGCTCATGGTCGAAATCCGAGATGGGTCATCGCATCGGAACGATGTAACTGTCTACACTTTTGGGCTCCTGAGGTTTGAATATGGAGGAAGTATCGGGCGGGAGCCTCGTCTGTGAGTGAATTGCGAGGAAGTCTCAGGCGGGACCCCCCCCTCTATGGTGCCCGCAGCTCAGGTCTGTAATCCGAGCGGGTCATCCTCAAACATGCAACTGTCGTCATGTTTGGGCCCCTGAGGCCTGAATATGGGGGACGTACCATGCGGGAGCCATGTCTGTAAGTGAATTGTGAGGAAATCTCATGCGGGAGCCCTTCTCTTATGGGGCCCGCGGGTCATGTTTGTAATCCGAGGCGGGTCATCCTCAAACTTGTACCTGTCGTCACCTATGGGCCCCTGAGGCTTGAATATGGGGGAAGGCTTCGGCGGCAGCCTCGTCCGTGAGTGAATTGCGAGGGCGTCTCAGGTGGGAGCCTCCGCCTTCTGGGGCCCGCAGCTCATGGTCGAAATCCGAGACGGGTCATCGCATCGGAACGATGTAACTGTCTACACTTTTGGGCTCCTGAGGTTTGACTATGGAGGAAGTATCGGGCGGGAGCCTCGTCTGTGAGTGAATTGCGAGGAAGTCTCAGGCGGGACCCCCCCCCTCTATGGGGCCCGCAGCTCAGGTCTGTAATCCGAGCGGGTCATCCTCAAACATGCAACTGTCGTCATGTTTGGGCCCCTGAGGCCTGAATATGGGGGACGTACCATGCGGGAGCCATGTCTGTAAGTGAATTGCGAGGAAATCTCATGCGGGAGCCCTTCTCTTATGGGGCCCGCGGGTCATGTTTGTAATCCGAGGCGGGTCATCCTCAAACCTGTCCCTGTCGTCACCTATGGGCCCCTGAGGCTTGAATCTGGGGGAAGGCTTTGGCGGGAGCCTCGTCTGTGAGTGAACTGCGAGGGCGTCTCAGGTGGGAGCCTCCGCCTTCTGGGGCCCGCAGCTCATGGTCGAACTCCGAGGCGGGTCATCGCATCGGAACGACGTAACTGTCTACACTGTTGGGCTCCTGAGGTTTGAATATGGAGGAAGTATCGGGCGGGAGCCTCGTCTGTGAGTGAATTGCGAGGAAGTCTCAGGCGGGCCCCCCCCCCTCTAAGGGGCCCGCAGCTCAGGTCTGTAATCCGAGCGGGTCATCCTCAAACATGCAACTGTCGTCATGTTTGGGCCCCTGAGGCCTGAGTGTGGACGAAGTTTCAGGCGTGAGCCTCGTTTGTGAGTGAATTGCGGGGAAATCTCGGGCGAAAGCCCCTTCCCTATGGGGCCCGCAGCTCGTGTTTGTGATCC